GAAAACTACAGGTTTACAGACTGTATTACTCTGATCTGTGTAATTATCAATGTTTTTACACCTGTTTTGTGTATTAAGGATAAATTTTAGATGACCGGATGCGGACTCGTTTTTCAGTTTTCTGTTCCTATGACGCGTAAGCTTATGAGATGGTTTGATGAACGAGATTTACACTGTTACAATCAATACTTCAAATTTGTTGGACAGTTATATGAACATGGATGACTATATCTAACTTTGTTTGAAATTTTGAATTGAAGTAGAAGCTATTTAGTATTAGTGTTCTTTTTTCAAAAGTCTTGAGGTCAATGGGCTAAACAAACTTTTGTCACCTCTGCGTTTTCTTATCTTCCCACTCGAGGACACAAATTTTAGCAGCTTACACTGTCGGAGTATTACAAGCAAAATCAAATGTCTTAAAGAGTTTTTGTTTAGTATTTTAACCTATTCTCTCTATACAAAATGGTGAAAAAACTGTTGTGGGCTATAGTTCCCCTGGTGTCGAAATGTAATACGTTTCACAAAATATTATAGAAAAGGTCATTGATAATGATGCTCCTGCTAGAAGGACACTTACTATCATGCTTTATTTAAAAGTTGGAAATATCCTTGCTCGTACTTCTTGTCTTGCAGACTAACCATTATATGACTATATCGAAAAACACCTGAAACATGAAATGATAAACCAATTTTCCCATGCAAATATATGGAGTGGTCTACCTATGTTGAAAGAGATCTTAATAATGTAGCCAGTCAATGTGTGCGTGCCTTTTTGCTTTAGAAGTGAAACTAAGTAAATAAATAAATAAACTAAAACTTCTTTTTCATAACTCATTTTTAATTCAACTTTCAATGTTTGACCGATCTTATAGTATAAAGTATAAAACATTATTCTAGTATCAGTGATTCAACCCAACACACCTGTACTTACAAGATGAAAAGTTAAAATGTCCTTGAATTACAAAATGCCTTGAACTTCCCATAAACACATACTTATACATATATACAGTTTTAAGACTCAAAAATCATCAAATAGATTAGTTAAAACAGGATGGGAAAATATAGGTGTCAATTAGTGTAGCTTAAAATTATTCTTCGCTTAAATGTAATTTATTAAGCATGTTTAAATGTATAAAAGCCATCAGCAAAAAAACCAAGTGTTAAAAGAAGTGTATATTTTTTACTTAATTGTTAAATTTGCAACTGCAAACATTTTTAGCAGATAATAATATCCGAGAGAACAAAAAGAAACAAAATGTTGGACAAAGATGGCCACTTGTGAGGTGGTCAAAACGTTACACTACAGATTTTACCTAAAATGAGACCGTGAACAAAATTGAAGGCAAAATATTTTAGGTGAGGAATAGACAAATTACCCATAATTGACTATGTCATTAAAAAGGTTGTATATATACAACGAAAACCCAAATACAGCCTGAGCAAAATTAAACATATAAAGACAAAGATGAAAATACGTAATAAGTTTTTTATTTGTTTGTTGTTAAGCATAAAACTACACAATGGACTGTCTGTGCTGTGCCCACCAGGGGTATCGAAACCTGTTTTTAGCAATATAAACCTTCAGGCTTGCTACTGAGTCACTAGAAGGGCAGATTGGTTTTGATAGCCTGTGTAGAGATGAGTATGGGAATAAAAAAGCAAATGCTGACAAAGGAAGAGTAAGAAACAGATAAATCGTTTGAAAATATACAAAAAAATAAATGCCAATCTATGGAATCATCATAAAATACGCAAAAAAAGTGTTTTCGTATTTATAAGTATATTATTATTGGAGTTCATTTATTAAATGTTTTCATTAATATTTCACTCTTCCGGTTTCTATATCGTTCAGTGTTATTGTTGATAAGTCTCCCAATTGTTCTGGACATTACTTCTTGAATAAACATATATTGTTTGTTTGTTTTTGAATTTCGCGCAAAGCTACACGATGGCTATCTGCACTAGCCGTCATCACCACCCACCGCCAACTCTTGGGCTACTCTTTTACCACGAACAATGGGATCGACCGTCACATTATAATGCCCCCACGGCTGAAAGGGCGAGCATGTTTGGTGAGACGAGGATTCGAACTCACGACCCTCAGATAGCGAGTTGAGCGCCCTAACCACCTGGTCATACAGGTTCCAAATAATAAATGCCTTAAACATGCAAGTTGTAAAAGAAATTATGACAAACTTCCAATAAATAGAGATAGTTGATGAGTGTACCAATCAAAATAGGTTTGACTATATGTTTCATAGTGTATCCAAAAGTCAAAGTGGAGAAATATACAAATCAAATAAATTTTATGATTAAGAAAAAATTAAATTTTAGAAAAGCAAATGAATGAAATATATTTCTGTTGTTATTGTTGTCTTGTTTATTAGATGAGAAAATAGTCAATTAATGTAAATCCCTAAGGCGTGTTTATTTATGAAGACTACAGTCAGTAAGTTCATTTCTTAAACAGTCATTCTGAAATGAAGAAGAGTGCAGTTGTTGGCATAGAAATATCTTGATATTTGTTCTCAGTATTAACCTGAATAATTTGTCGTTTATACACTGACTGGCCATTTATTAGGACTTGGACCTGACCTAACTTATGCTGATCACATGATGTGTCAGGTGGTCCCTGCAGCAGCACCAAATACTGGGGCAAGCACATTTGTAGTCAGTCTAAGAGATATGGGGAAGCGCAAAAATACTGCAGCATTTACAAGAGGTAAGATAGTGGGTAACGTATAGCAGGTGCCACAGTGGTCAAGATAGTTTCATTGGTAGGATGTTTCAAGATATTGTCATTCGAGTTTATCAGCAAAGAAAAAAGTTGAATAAATTGTCTGACACAAGGAGAATTGTGTCCACAAACACGTAGTGGTAGAAAAAGGTGATTAGACAAGATGGAAAAATAAACCATCATAGAAAACACACTAAATAACATGGATTCACTGCAGGGCAATCCACACTAATCTCCATCTGTATCTTTTATAGAACATTACAAGTGGACTGTAACAGTAAGAGATCGTTGCATAAATTCAGTTATCAACAATAAAAAGTGCCTTGAGTGGTGTATAGAGCATAGACATGGGACTCGTGAAAGGTGACGTGATCCAACAATGATGCTTTAACCATTTGTTGCATAGGTAGGATAAGACGGATTTGAAAAAAAGGCTAACTCATCTTACTTGTGTGATCCCAACTGTCTAGGTCTCTGGTGTTGGAGTTATGACTTGGAACATGTTTTCCTGGCGTACTCTGGGCTTCTTGATTCCTTTAGAAGACTCAGTGAATGCCACAGGTTACCTCAGCATAGTTTCTGATCAAGTGATGATTCATATATATCCTGTTGATGACAGCTACTTCCAAGACCCCAAACAGAGCACAGACAACAAATTTCTCAAATCCTTTAACAAAGGTCTGTGTTCTTCCTTCTGGAACAATAGACATATTTCTCATTTTCTCGCAAAACCATTCAAATAAAATGACTGCCATTAGTCTTTACATACTGATTTGTAAAGTCAATAAACATTGCATTGAAAATGTCACTACATAAGTTATGAGTCATCACCTTTAGTGTGGGTCTATTTTGATAGATTTTTTGCGACCCATGAAACTATTTTCGAGATATACGCAGTTCTCCTGATAATGTTTGTGCCCCAATGCTTATTTTGTTACTCACGCTACTTTATATGACATGCCAGTAACTCGAAAGGCACGTTTTTCTTTCCCAAGAGCAATTTAAAACTATAAGTACACATTATAATTTTAAACTTGTGGTGCACAAGATCTTACAGTTCCTTTCACTTAATCTCATTGATAGATCCATAGACATAAAATAAACATAATATATAACAGAATAACAAATCCTAGCCATTGTATTCTAAAATCATACATGAACTGTAGAGTTAAAAGATGTCGTTCCCAAAATGGTCAGTGTTTGTGTGACATCCTAACATAGCCAAATGAGCATAGTTTACATTATTTTCAGCGAGTAAGCGACAACACCATGTATGTTTATGTAAAATACTGATCACCTTTCTCTATATGTATTAGTTGCTTTCTATTTCTAGACACAGGTAACAGTGCCAATATTGAAATAGAAAGCTATGAATACAGAAAAAAGTGCCAGTTTTCTGAAAAAGCGACTTAAGAAGACTCATTCACGTGTGACGTAATAAACAGGGATTACTGTCTTATATTTTATTAAGTGGGGGTAATGAACTAGATAATATGATATTTCTTGACAAACATAGTACACATTGTGGACATTTTACATGTTTCCAGTAAACAGTTACGTACAATCATGGCGTACAATGACGTAAACCACAAACACCAAGTCGCCAAACGATAGAATTTGTTTAGTCTCTGCCCCTATTGTTAGATTATTGAAACATTTATACTTCGACAGGTCTGCAACTGTTTTAGGATTCGGAGAGAAAAATGCATGTAATAGAATTAAAGTTTCGTTCCATATTTAAAAAGAGAATCAAATTTCTAATGAAATTTATATTTCAACAGTAACAATACGTACTTATTTAATCAATGTATGGCGCATTTAGTAATTTACCGATAAATGCGTTAGTTTGTCTCGAGGTAGATATTATACTGTTTGTTTGTTTTCTAACACGGCAAAAGAATTAAGATAACCATAAACTGAAGACACGCGATTTTTGACACAATGATATACGAAATTTGAAATTAGATATTTTCTACATCCTAAGCAATTGAAATCTCTCAAATAAATGAAAAAATGGAGATTGTAATATATATGTTGCAAATAAGAGCGTCAGTTACTTCTATATTGCATTGTTATCTTAATAAATATTTTATAATATATGTTGCAAATAAGAGTGTCAGTTACTTCTATATTGCATCGTTATTTTAATAAATATATTATAATATATGTTGCAAATAATAGCGTCAGTTACTTCTATATTGCATTGTTATTGTTATTTTAATAACAGATATTTTGCCAGCAGTTCAATGTCGCCAAAGAGCTATGTTTTGGTTCGTTTATTTTCAGTTAAGCATAAAGTTACCTAATGGGCTATCTGTGCTGTGCTCACTACGGATATCGTACCCCGGTTTTAGCGTTATAAGCCTTCAGACTTACCGTTGTGCTACTGGGGGGAACCAAGGTATGAAGACATTCTAAAAAAACAAATTTTTGTTTTAGTTGTTTGTTGTTAAGCACAAACGTACACGATGAGCTAGCTGTGTTCTGCCCACCTCGAGTATTGAAACCTGATTTTTAGCGTTATAAACTTGCCACTTAGCCACCCCGGACCAAAAACATAAATAGAACTAGATTTAAAATAATGATTTAATAAAATTGAACGACTAATGAACTAAATTTTAAATATTATAGATCAAGAAAGTAAAGGTAAGAGCTAGTAATAAATCAAATGTTTCGAGCATTTTCTCGATATATAACATTAGATCATAAAAGTGGCGTTTTAATAAATGCATGTCTACCATAAAAACTGCATTAAATTATTGTTTATACCTTTTGAACATAGCTTTTGTATGTTTTTTGAACTTGGCAGAAAGCTTACGAGATACTAACTATGGAAACACGTTTCAGATACCTATATTTTTGCATTCCAGAAGATCTGTTAACTTGTAACTAAAATGATGTCCAAAAATTATGCATTAGGAGATACAATTACATAAGTCGTGAAACTGACGATAGGAAATATACATTTAAGCAATGTTTCTGCAAAATCATTTCCATGAGTAATATCCGGTGTAAAATTGATTTTAGATTATTGGGAATTTGGTATATAATTGAAAAATTATTGTCAAGGCAATCGATTGTAATAGATTCTAAGAAAGAAAAGTAAAAAATTTGTCAATCTTCTGGGTAAGATTTATTTCGCTTTAGTTAATCTATATCAAAGGTTAGGGTCATCAAAATATATTTTTCTCCAAAAGAATATTATATCATAGAAAGACAGAAGACACAGTTCCGTTCAATGTCATTGAATAGAAGTCAGATGTTGTGAACTGTGTCAACATATCTGTAAGAGCATTGCTGTAAGAATATCTGAACTCCTATATTTGGTCGAAATATTGAGTGTTACATGAGTATGAGTCGACTAAAATGCGTTCAATATTTGTTAAATTCAAAACAACGTTTCTAAATAAACAAACTATTTGATCTCTTAGTTCAGCAAAGTTGTCTAATTAAGACATCCGAAAAAGCGAGAGTACTCCGGGTCCTTCAACATATAAACATAGAATATGTTATGTCATCTTTGTAAGTTATCGGTTTACTAGCTTCTATGAAAATTATAGTAAAACATATAAATATTTAATAATAAAAACTATAAATTTGAAATATATTTGTTATACACTCAAGAATGTACTTAAGCTCAAAGCATTAAGCACTACCTAAATGTAAATAAGTTCATTATTTCTAATTTCTAGTCATTGTTTTTCTTTCTGTTGATATCTTTCTTACAGTAGTTTTTATTATGTAATGTTTCTGTATTAATAACATTTAAAACTCTAAAGCACATTTAGTGACTCAAAAAAAAAGGATCAAGTTGAGCTCAATCACAAGACCATTATTATTATTATGATTTAGTACTTTATTTATATATCAGATATTTGTGTCCACTTGAAAGTTGATACTGTCATATATTTTATCTGAAGTGTAGAAGTCCTAGTCATTTTGATCGGGATCCGGGAAAACCAGGTGCTATGTTTGAGTGTATAAATTCGATGTTCCTTTATCGATTCAATCTACCTCCTTTTGTTCTGCATTTAGTTTAGATAAAACGTGCGGTCCATATATGGAGTTGATATAACGTTCAGTTTTCTTGTTTTTTACACTATGTTTCACAGTCGGGTTATGAGTTTGAAATTCTCTAGTATTTTAAAGCGGCCAAGTGAATACTACAAATTCAACGAGCAAGTGTGTGTAGCTAATTATTACAAAAAAGTAGTCCTTATATGTTCTTTCTTTGCTTTATTTAATTTTTACATGGAGTATGGCCTCATAAAACATGTTTGACACGATACTGAAGATGATTCAAATTAAAAAGAGTCTAATTACTTGTATATAATAGCAAGTTACAACCAAAAAAATCTTCCTAATTTCATTAGTTCATCGATAATGTATGAAAAATAGGTTTTGCTAGAGATATAGAATTCGTTTATAAAATGGACTAGTGATTCTTTTATTGTTAGTTTGCTTAATCATTTACATACAAGTATATATATATATATATATATATATAATAACAAAAGGTTATGACTATTAAATACATACACAAAAAAATACGTACAACTAAACAATAACAAGAAAACATACAAGTTCGAAAATGGTTGTTTAGTCTAAGTTTCAGTTTTGTGGTACAAATAACATCAGCTTCTCTTTAAACAAACAGTAACGTAACGAAGCTCTTCAAACTAGACTGATTACGCAACCGAGTGATAATTTTCAGTAGCATTCAATACTGCACTGAAAACATTTAAAAATGGAGGAGAGATTTTTTTCGTGAAATTATTTCTTTCAAAACAGCTTATTATGACTTCTTTATAAAGAAAGATTTTACAAACAACTGAAACTTTTTTCATTGAAAAATAAATAATTAATGTTTTTTTCACAGAGTTTGTCTTAACTTTTAGATTTCGGAGAGAAAATTCCAATATAATTTATTATTTATTTAATTGGTGCATTAATTAGTAGCTATTATTCCATAAAAACCTTTTGTAAACATGGACGTTTTCCAACTAATTTGAAAAAAAAAAACTTAAACACTTTACATTTTATCCCCACATCACATATTATCCTACTTTAAAGTAGACTTTAAACAATGATCCAGTTCACCTTTCTTGATTGTAGCCAGCAATAACAATTATCCATACCAGTACATTTTCGCTGGAACTCATATCTCTTCGATTGGCTTAACTGCCAACATTCGAATTCCTTCTGTCGTACTTTCCGTTTTTATTTTAGCATTCTTCTTCGTCTTCTTCCATCTACCATAGAAGGCAGTCGATGTGATCAAAACTCCAGTTATTAAGGCTGCACTTCCAGAGGTCAGTGAAGCTATTGTCACGTGAGCAGGACACACACGTAGACCAAGACACAACATTCCTATCAACAGAACAGAAAAGGCGAGGCAAAAACAGGATATTGCAACACATTTTCGATGGCAGAACATAGTTTCCTACTGCTCCGACTCCACTTAACGCAAGTAATGGCGATAAATTTAGTAGAGAGCGTAAAGCAACATAAAACACGTGTTCAGTTTGAACCATCTCATTGAAAACAGCACTTCAAGTATATATACAAGTCAAAATGTGCTGAGCTCAGCTTTTCTTACACATAAATAAAATTATACTTATAAAAAAAAATAATATTTACACTGCCAACAAATACAGCAGACAGTTTGCTTTTTCAAGTACAACTCGAGTTGAAAATAAAATTATATTTTGAAACAAATTACCAATATATAACGATAGTTTTATATGGTTCTATAATTTCATTTCACTTGTATCACATAAGAGAACTTCAACACAAACATAAGAAGTTCATGTGAAAGATAATTATTAAATTAGGCGGGAAAAGAGGAAAGAAAGAGATTAAGTTACAGTATTTGATAAAGCTAACTCATTAATCATTATAAAACTACGTGTGTATACAATAGATCATCGTTTCACACAATACTGAGTTATGCGAGAAATAGCTTCAAGAAAGACCATTTCTAACGATACAGCTAGATATTAGTCTGTAACATAGGGCTTGTAACGTTTCACTGTGAGTTTCCGGGTTGATAAAATATGTTCCTTCTTTCATTGGTTGATCAAGTAATTAGTGTATACCAATCATATAGCCAGAAGCGTTTCTTATACTACTTTACAAAACTAATGTTTCAGCAACCAGGTCAACATACTAGAGCACGTAGTATGGCTCTTTCCCAAAGTCCATTTGTTCGCAGCAATCATAGCTATGCAGGTTGTTTGTTTAACACTATGTCTTCTTGTAAACATCTAACTTCAATCGTTCATGTAATATAATATTCAAACATGAAAAAATATGTTCATATTATATTTAAAAAACATTGAACTGTAGCCTTTATTCAAGTGTAGAACCGCTAATGTTACTGTGACAAAGATATCACTAAAAATAGTCCATGACGTAATGAATTCTGTACACACAGTTAGAAAGTGTTTTATACATACGCACTTATTTCGATATTACAAAATTAACATTATTTATTGTATAATAAGTTACTTTATAAGCTTGTAGTAACATAATCTATACAATATTATCTCAGAAGGTGTAAGAAAGTGGCCTAGGTATAAAACCGACAGCATGTACTGATCTTTAAGGGAAAAACATAACTGATATTAGAATATTCTATTATAAGACAGACAGTAAAGATACTCGTCAGTTTCTTCACGTAATATACGACAGACATAATAATAGCAACTGCCTCAGAATTAAACTTGGAGTTATATTCGTAGGTTTCTTCAAAAGAAGTATTTCCTTCCTACGTCACAGAGCGGTATGCCTGCGGACTTACAATGCTAGAAACCGGGTTTCGATACCCGTGGTGGGCAAAGCACAGATAGTCCATTGTGTAGCTTTGTGCTTAACTACAAAAAAAAACAAACCTACGTCACAGTATTGATATACATATTTCTGTTATCAAAGTGCATTGCACATTTTATATGTATTTTTTTTATAGTTATTAGTACGGAAATTTCATAACCTAGAAATCCAAAGTGTAGCAAGTAATGGCTCGACTTGATCTAAACAATGTTACGTATTATTTTCAAGGGCTTAAAATGGCATGATGGTTTGAGCGCTCGACTCGCAATCTGTGGGTCGCAGGTTCGAATCCCCGTCACACTAAACATCCTTACCGTTTCATCTCTGGAGACGTTAAATGTTACGATCAGTCCCGCTATTCGTTGACAAAATAATAGCACAAGAGTTGGTGGTGGGTGGTATTGACTAGCTGCAATCCCTTCTGTCAAAATCAGGGACGGCTAGCCAGATACTCCTCATGTAACTTTGAACGAAATTCAAATAAAACCAAGGGCGTAAAACGGACTTCCCAAATAAACAAGGTGACTCATAGCTGTCTAAAAGCAGTGTGGTACAAAATGATTTCTAACTTTTAGAAATTATGATTTTTCTTGTTGGACTTATATACCTCCTTACAAGAATATTTTTAACTTTACTCTTAATTACAAGCTCAACTAACGACTTAAAATAAAACTTTTATCTAATTGAGGCTCTTTGTTCAATTATTTGCGATTCGAAGTTAATATTTTTTAATGAAACACAGAAGTTCTTTAACGTTACTCACTATGGTCGTTTCATTCCAAAACGTAGTATACTGAAAGACTAAGATAGTTTAGTGGCAATGATAAATAATAAACTGGCCTACGTTCTTTCTGGGCCAAGAAAATGTTATTGGTATTTTTTAGCACTAAAATTCGAGACTCGATCCATACAATTAGTATAATCCCAGACAGTCTATTATGCAGACTCGATCCATACAATTAGTATAATCCCAGACAGTCTATTATGCAGACTCGATCCATACAATTAGTATAATCCCAGACAGTCTATTATGTAGACTCGATCCATACAATTAGTATAATCCCAGACAGTCTATTATGCAGACTCGATCCATACAACTAGTATAATCCCAGACAGTCTATTATGCAGACTCGATCCATACAATTAGTATAATCCCAGACAGTCTATTATGCAGCTTTTCGCAACAAACTCTCATTACCTACAGTTTGAGCAAGTGTTATGTTTCTTAAATGTTATAGTTACAAGATGAATGGCATTTCATTTTATGCACCATGGGTCTGTTTGTTTATTGTTATGCACAAAGCTACACAGTGGGCTATCTATGCTGTGGCTACTACAAGTATCGAAACCCGATTTTTTGCGTCATTAAATCACTATTTTCAAATTTGTATAAATATTTTTTTTATATTTATTATAAAATAATTTAAAATATTTAGTTAAAGTTTTCTCCTCGAACCCATTAAACATCAATTTATGTAGTAATATGTTAATATTAGATATTAAGAACTGTACATTACTACAAATTCTACAATACCTAAGAAGCTGTGAGTGTATAATGCTCTGTATGGCATTTGTTGATACATTACTCTTTGGAGAGGGAAGTCCAAATATTTGAAATGTCAGATCGTTTCTTTTACCATGAATATTAATATTATAATAATTATTAATTATATTTGATTATCTTAATGTTTAAATCTAAATAATGTACTTCAGTGTTTGATATAAAAGTTTTCTCAATCTGTAGAACTGCAGGATAAATGTTACCTATGTAATTACTTATTTCTGGGATATTAATACTAATCAAATCGTCAATACATCTGTATGTTAAAAAAAATAATTCCGGACCTGAAAAATTATTTAGGAATTTATTTTCGTAATAATGAAGAAATAAATGGGCAACAAAGCTCGAATAATTAGCACCCATCGGTATACCTGTTACTTGTTTATAAATGAACTTATCAAAATAAATATAATTATTATATACACAAAAACTCAATATGCTTTTTATCTTATTAGCTGTAAAAGTTTGTTTTTCTATTTGTATGGGTAAATCTATAAATTCATCTGTTAACGAATTTATCACTATTATCAAATCAGTGGTATAGATGTAAACAACGTAGTAAAATCATATGTTTCAACTGTATTTGCTAATTGTGTTTTATTTAAATTTTCTTTCTAGACTTTTTAAGACAGGTTCATTACTTTTAATTATCCAAATATCATGTTTATTACTTGCATTTTGTTGTAATTTAATGAATAACTGATTCAGTAATTTACTTAATAAAACTTAATAATATTTAATGAGCTAGTAATCAAACGAAATTTAATAGGATATTTACTTAATTTAGGGATCGCATATAAATATGGTGATTCTGAATATGGATTTGTTTCAAATCGTTCGTATTCAGTTGTAAGCTAAATATAAAAAGGTGATAGCAAAAGCATAAAAGGATGGCAGTTGTTTAATAAAGATGCTGAAAATGTGGCTTTATTGATATATACTGAACTTACTCCCAGAGGGTAGACCTTAGTACTAGCTAATATGGAGACTTGAGGTTGCTGTATTTCACTTTAAAATTTATCAATTAACAAACGAAAACTTGTCTCGAAGTTGTCTCGAAAAGATACGTCCAAAACCATTCTCTTTGGGAGTTTCCGAATTGAACTTACTCTTAATATTCAATAAATTGTAGTGTAAAGACACCTCTTGGCTCCTGGGGGACGTGTTAATAATATTTTAAAACCTTTTCTAACTGGAGTGTACACCCCTCGTAAAGTAAGTCTTTCGTTTATGGGTAAAAACAGTTATCTGCTGAAAAAAAAAAATCTTGAAATCATACGATACACAAATTTCAGTGGGTATAGCTTTCAAATATTTATTGCTAATTAAGAACTTTTACAAATAAAAGGACAGAATTTCTAAACTTTGATTAGAATAGCCCACGGGTTAGCGGTATGTGGTTTTGATTAACTGCCATCCGTCCCACCAAACATGCTCGCCCTTTCAGACGTGGGGGCGTTATAATGTTACGATAAATCCCATTATTTTTGATAAAAGAGTAGCCCAAGAGTTAGCTGTGGGTGGTGATGACTAGCTGCCTTCCCTCTAGTCTTATACTGTTAAATTAGGGACGGCTAGCGCAGATAGCCCTCGTGTAGCTTTGCTCGAAATTCAAAAATAAACAAACAAAGAAAATTTGAAATATCACTTACATTTATAAAATAATTTAAATCTGTAATAAATGAAATTTACTTGCAAAATGGAGGTCGTTATATTTTACAAAGAAA